AGGTGTACGTGGCTGGCGCCCTAGCCGGTTGAGCCACAGGCGCCGAGCCAGGGGACACATTTTCAATTTGGATTTTCTCCCAAGAATGCTCAACCTTGTGCTGGCCTCGGTGGTCCCAGCCAGGAATTATGCAAAAAAGTCTTTAATCAACAACCTACAATCTGTTGTCTGCTACCAAACTGACACTCACGAGGACTGTCATCCTGAAAGTCTAGTGTGAATGGTTTTCCATAAACGCATTCTGCCTTAGGCTTCCCCACACCACAGCTCAGCAGTTCTAGTTCATTCTCATGACCCTGTGAGTACGCCCATAACCAAGCCCGTTCACTGACACAGACTTAGACTTGCTTACAGTACTGGCTCTGACACTGACTTATGCTGTGATCTTAGATAACTTAATTAGGACAAAGCCTCTCTTTTCCCATTTGTCCAGGGGGTAATATCACCTCTCTCAATGGATTGAGAATAGTAAAAGAGAGAAATGTTAAAAAATGTGAATTCAGCACCTAGAGCATATCTAGTAAATGTTAGTGCTGCTCCTTCTTCCTCCTAGTAAAGCCTGGGAGTGTCATACATTCCTTAGGGACTCACAGACTCTCAGTAAGATCAAGTATTTGGGAGGCCAAGGCAGAAGGCCTGTTTGAGGCCAGGAGTTCAAAATCAGTGTGGACAACATAGGAAGATCCCTCTCTACCAAAAATAAAAATTACCCAGACATGGTAGCACGTGCCTAGAGTCCCAGTCACTTCAGAGGGTGAGGTGGAAGAATCCCTGAAGCCCATAATTCACATTTATAGTGTGCTATGCTCATGCCACTGCATCCTAGGCTCATGACAGAGTGAGACCCTGTCTCTAAAAAATAAAGATCAAGTACAATGATAGTCCTAAGTGTTCTTAACTGTTTTTGAACCCTAAACTTTCTTCTCATTCATGAAAAATCCATTTTCCCAAATTCTAAAGTAATGAATTTTTAAATTATTCTCTCTTCAATTAAAAACAATGCAAAGTAAAAGGCTTTTTGGAAGTTTAAGTAAATTATACCTGCAGATATCTCCCTTATTAAGAGGTATACTCAAAAGACACATTTTTCTTGCAGGCATCTGATTGCCTCTCCACACATTTGCCCTTGAAAACTGACTGATCTGTTTGCTCTCTCTGCCTGATGACAACCAGAGGCTTTCAGGCATTTGTCTCTGTACAGAGTCACACTGGCAATGCCACAAGAGGACAAAAACCTTACGTTTTTCTCCCCTGAATTTCCCAAATCCCTGTGGACTTCAGGGTAGATGCCCTCAGCTCTACAATTCCATGTACCTTCAGTATTTAGTTATGCCTAACTGCACACACGCCACTCCAGCAGCCAGGAAAGAACTCAGGAAAGTGCTCCACACTTAGGCAGAAAAGTATGCAGGGAGGGGAAAAGGTTGAAAATCAAATAAGCCTGGGAAACATTTGGTTTCAACTGATTTTCTTTCTTTCTTTTTAAAGAGATGGAGTCTTGCTGTGTTGCCCAGGCTGGTCTCAAACTCCTAAGCTCAAGCAATCCTCTCACCTCTGCCTCCTGAGCAGCTGGAATTACAGGCATGAGCCACCACGCCTGGCTTAAACTGATTACTGCAGGCATGGTTGGAGATCTACATGATGAGGCCACCGAGTGAGAGGGTGGGGAGCCTGGGGCTGCATTACTTTCCACTAGTCTGACTTCAGAATTATCTCATGAAACAAACATTCCTCAGATCACATTTTGAAAAATGCTAACTAGACTTCAACATGTCTCTACAAAAGGCAGTACGGACTAAAGATGTCTTCCCCAGCAAAGAATTCATTTCTCCCTTGGCCTCTCTGGCACACTTTCTGCCATGGAGATGTTACACGCTTTCTTCTGCATTATCCAAATGAGACACAGAAGCAGTGGTTCAAACAATTCCAGCCAAATCCTCTTACTCCAGGACAGTCTCACTAGCTAAGTGCCTCCATGACATAAACCTCATCACAAAGTTGCATTCAGCCGGGCATGGTGGCTCCCGCCTGTAATCCCAGCACTGTAGGAGGCTGAGGAGGGAGAATTGCTTGAGCTCAGTAGTTCGAGACTTGCCTGAGCAAGAGTGAGACCCCCAAAAAACCCAGCTGTGCACCATGGCAAGTACCTATAATCCCAGCGGCTTTGGGAGGCTGAGGCAGTGGGATGCCCACAGCCCAAGTCTGAGGTTGCAGAGAGCTATGATGCCATTGTCCTCTGCTCAAGGCAGAGGGAGGGACTCTGTCTCAATAAAAAAAAAAAAGTTGTACTCAATCCATAGATTTTTCTAGGTCTCAGAGAAGGAAAATAGAGCCAAAGATGGAGAAACTGTTCAGCCTCTGAAACAGAAAAAATACGAGGTGGAGTCAAGATGATACAAAAAACGTGTCTAGTGCAAAGGGACTCAGGACACTGCAAAGCGAGAACCCCACAGAACAAAGTTTTCGGTACAACTCAAACACCCATGCAGTATTTTTCAGGCACCTTAATCCAGGAGGAAAGCGTGGTTCCTATCTGTAAGAATCTACACTGTAATGAAATTTCAGGCGACCTGACACATCAGTGAAGTTAAAAACTAAACACTAGCAACAATTATATACAAACGTCTGAAGTTTTAAACAAACATCTGTAAGACTCTGACACAATATTCATCATGTTTTATGTCGTGTGACACAAATATCTGAAGATTTTGATGCTGCACTAGTCTATATTTCTAACAATATCGCCTCCCAGTAAACCATATTTATCAATATATTCTTCAACGTGAAGAACCTCGCATAGTTTTACTTCTAGCTCCTGAAATCCATCTCTAAAGTCACTGCTTTGATTTCCGACGCAGATGCAGGTTTTCCGTCTCATTATAAGACGAGCTTCACTCCCACTTGTTCTGGGACCTTCAAGAAGGCATCTCATCTCAGTGTTTTCTATTTACAAGCTCAGGAAACTCGCTTGGAAGACGGGAATGATACTACAGACAAGAATTTTCCAATTTCTTTATAGCGACTGGGCCCAGAAACCTTAGTTGTATAAAGGAGTGCAACAAGAACTAGATGATTTTATTTATTTGTTTTTTTGAAACAGAGTCTCACTATGTCACCCCAAGTAGAGTGCCGCGGCATCACAGCTCACACAACCTCTAACTCTTGGGCTTCAGTGATTCTCTCGCCTCAGCCTCCCAAGTAGCTGCAGGCGCCCACCACAACGCCTGGGTTTATTTATTTTTCTTTTTTGGTTGTAGTTGTCATCATTGTCGTTTGGCAGGCCTGGGCTGGATTCGAACCTGCCAGCTCTGGTCTATGTGGCTGGCGCCCTAGGTACTGAGCTACAGGCGCCAAGCTGAACTAGACAATTTTAAATAAATTCCAAAAGTAAAACCTCAATAACGTAAAACAGCTTCTTAGAAGTCTTTTTATTCTTTTATACCTCACAGCAAAACATCCTTAGAGACTCTGCCTCTTTCCTAAGCACTTGCTGCAGATGAGAACGGCGCACACACTCACCTGGGAGCTGTGGTCCCTGCTGGTGTGCATTTCCACGTCAAACATGATCTGTCCATCTTCTTGTGGGGAAGGGCTAGAAAAGAAAGAATTTAGCCGTTAGTTGTTTTTTTTTTTTTTTTTTTTAAATACAAAAGAGTAAGTCTATTTTATATTAGAGAAAGGGAAGAGAGTGGCGGGGAAGAGATGAGAAAGGAGCAGGGAGAGGGAAAGATGGGTGAGGGCAGACGGGAGAGGGGAAGACAGGAGGGGGAGGAGCAGAGAATGGTGTGGCATCTCAAAGAAAGGATGAATCCCAGCCTAGCTGTTAGTTTTAAGTTTTATTTTGTTAAATCAACTAGCTGATACTAGAAATCATAAAATTAAAAAGTTATAGGAGCAGGGCTCTGAAAAAGCCGCAAATTAGAATGTATGTCACGACCCACACAAGCGAAGTTTACGCAACATTATAAAGGATTATATGAAGTAGAGCACTCTCATTCCCCAAATGTTCTGGACTTTTTCAGTGGTGAATTCTTTGCAAAGGAAATGCTATCTAAAAACACAACATTTTCACATTTTCTTACATTTACTCTTTTTCAAAATAAAGGTAAAATGATCTTCAAATTCAGAAATGTAGTTTGGGATTCTTTTTCTCAAAGTTCTTTAATCATTAAAAAATCCATCATCAGCAGCTCTTAAAGGATATAAAGTAGTTCTCAGAGACTCTTTCAGAGGGCCTTAGAGGTTTAAGCTGTTTTCATAATACTATTAGGATTTATCTGTCTTTCATTCTCATCTCAAGGATGTAGAGTGGAATTTTCCCAAAGGTGCATGATGTGTGATATCACAACAGATCAAATGCAAAAGCAGATGAGAAGCCAGTTGTTTTGGATTAAGCCACACAGGAAAGAGATTCAAAAAATGTAAAACAATGCCACTGTTCTTATTAATTCCTTTGTGTAAAGAAAATCGTTATTTTTTATTTTTTTAAAAAATGGTATTTTAATTTTCTTAGTTTTAATTCCTAATATAATAAATACCAAAATATATACACCCCAAAACAAAAGCTCTTTGGGTTTCCTAATAATTTTGAAGAGTGTAAAGGGGTATAAAAACCAAAAAGTTTGAGAACTACTATTCTACTTATTTCAGAAATATTCGTTTTGAGATATCTGAGTGAATTATATAAGTTTATACATGACCATAAACCTTTATTACAGTACACAATATAATCCCAAAACTATAAAAATTTACAGGCAAGTTCTAAGACAAAAACACATGATCACAAACTGTTGTTGGTACGAGAGAAGAACAGATGTGCCAAGTTCATTTCTGAGCTTTATCGATGAATCCTTGTGAAATCACAGTCCCTGGGTCTTTCACTAAACTACAAGCCTCTCCTCCCCAAATCTAAAATAAAATAAAGATGAAAAATACATGGGGCATAACTTGCTCAAAGGAATCAACATTAATTATTAAAGTTATCAAGAGCATACACACATTGTTAATGTACTGAGATTACTGGTGAGACTGACTCAAAAATAAGAACACCAGAAATTGGTAAGACCTAGTAAGCCTAGGTGTTTTAGGACTGGTGTAATTGACACAGGAGATTCTTGAACAGGGACAGCAAGAGAGTAAACATCATATATATTTAGGAAAATCTGTCTTGAATTAGAAATGTCAGGCTCTAGCACAGGAGTCAACCAGAAGCAAGCAATATTGTGGGCCTTAGTTTACTGTCTTTGCACCAGAACAAATGCTGAGTTCACAGCCAGGCGTCAAGGTAAGGACCAGCTTTACATAACTATGACCAGGTCAAGGCAGAGATTTCTCCACCAGCTCTGCTTCTGTATTCTTCTTTACCACTGGTGTCAATCTGGCTTAGAAAAACACTGAACTCTTCACTGAAATGTGCACTAATCCTCACACTTTGGTATGTGTTAGAGCATCAACCCTGGCTGCTATTCAGATCCACCAGGAAGTCTTTAAAATATTCTGGTGTCTCCACTCTGCCCTGACAACCAAATGAGAAGCTCTAGAAGGCGGGGTCTGCACGTCAGTATTTTGAAAAGCTCCCTGGGTGAACGTAGCGTGCAGTCAAGGCTGAAAACCCCTCCAGCATGGTGGAACACAAAGCAGAACATTTAGTGGTTATCCTTCAACAACCACTGCAGTTAACAAAACCGTAGCTATGGAACAATTGAACATGTGTAAGGCAGCTCTAGGACTAATATTCAACAATCTTAAAGCTTTTCCACTTACAAAAAATACTTCCCAACGACTTTAAATGCAGAGCTACAGGCTCGGTGCCTGTGGCTCAAGTGGCTAAGGCGCCAGCCACATACACCTAAGGTGGCAGGTTCAAATCCAGCCTGGGCGACACCAAAAACAACAATGACGGCTGCAACCAAAAAAATAGCCAGGCGTTGTGGCGGGTGCCTGTGGTCCCAGCTACTTGGGAGGCTGAGGCAGGAGACTTGCTTGAGCCCAGGAGTTGGAGGTTGCTGTGAGCTGTGATGCCACGGCAATCTACCCAGGGGAACAGCTTGAGGCTCTGTCTCCAAAAATAAATAAATAAATAAGTAAATATAGAGCTACAAAGCAATTCAAATGACATGCATTTTGCATGAACACTTTTAAACGGTACAGTGTGTTAGTCAGCTGTTCCCGGAGGGCACTGTTGTGCTCAAGCTCTAGGCCTCTTGTGAAAGATGACCAATAGCCCAGAGCATGAAGACACATAAGACGAGGGAAAGGAACCCATTAAAAACATCTGCCATACCTCTCTGCACATGTTTAGAAACCTACACTAAAACACAGTCACAGTAAGGTGAATTCACATTCAACCACATGTGAGACTGCAACCATAAAAAAGACAGCCAGAGAGGTGAGCAGGCGACTTTTTCTCTGTTCACTGACAGCACCACTTGAACAATAGGTTAATGGACATAACTGGCCCCAGTGATCCAAGGCCCACATGCTTTAGTGTATAGAAAAAGCCTTACCACACACCCCGTAACAAGCAGCAAACTTCAGAAACTCAAACACAAAGCTTCCGAAACTCATCAGCAAGTTACATCATACATACAGTAAAACCTCCATAGTTGCCCACCTCCCTACACTGACCACCTCCTTGTGTTAACCCTAATCTTCACATACCAGACACACACCACATGTACATACAGTACAGTAGGCCTAGTTCCTTACATGGACCACCTCCATGTGTTGACAAGTTAGTTGCAGCCCCTTGTACTGTATATAATCTAAAATCTACATTCTCAAAGACAGACTAAGGCTGTAGCTGCTGGAATCAACGACAAGCTGCTCAGAAAGGAGCCATCTGCTCTGGTTCTGCTTGTGACAAGAGGCTTCCCAGGCTCTAAGAAGCACAGGCACAGGGAAGCACAGGGACAGTGAGAGATGACACGGGGGTGGCGGGGGTGCACAGCACACCACAGAGCCAATGAACCAGTCCTCGGCTGCCTTGGTAACACTAGTGGATCATAAGCCACACAGGAAGTCTGAGCATGACTTAACTCTCATTTCTCCTGTCTTGACTTTCTCTAATAAGTAACAATATATGCTGTATACACAATTTTCACAAAATACTGAAATATCCATAAATCCATTCCCCAAAGAATACCACTGCTTATATTTTAAAATGTTTAATCCTTTTCCTATGCATTTGCATTTTCTACTTGGTTACTAGCAGTTAATTGTCAATTAACAAGAAAATCATCCTCTACAATGCTAACAGTGTGGCTGTCACTGTACTTTAAGAATTTCTTCTTTTTTTTGAGACACAGTCTCACTTTGTTGCCCTTGGTAGAGTCACAGCTCACAGCAACCTCAAACTCTCGGGCTCAAGAGATTCTCTTGCCTCAGCCTCCAGAGTATCTGGAACTACAGGCGCTTGCCACAATGCCAGGCTATTTTTAGAGATAAGTTCTAACTCTGGCTCAGGCTGGTCTCAAACTCATGAGCTCGGACAGTCCACCTGCATTTGTTTCCCAGAGTGCTATGATTACAAGGGTGAGCCCCTGCGCCCAGCACTGTACTAAGAATTTTGAAGTGTCATTTATTATTTTATTTTATTTTATTTTTTGAGACAGAGCCTCAAGCTGTTGCCCTGGGTGGAGTGCCATGGCATCACAGCTTGTAGCAACCTCCAACTCCTGGGCTCAAGCGAGTCTCCTGCCTCCGCCTCCCAAGTAGCTGGGACTACATGCGCCTGCCATAACGCCCGGCTATTTTTTTTAGTTGCAGCAATCATTGTTGTTTGGCAGGCCCAGGCTGGATTCGAACGCGCCAGCTCAGGTGTATGTGGCTGGTGCCTTAGCCGCTTGAGCTACAGGCGCTGAGCCTAAGTGTCATTTTAATATGTAGTCCCTCCAGGAAAAAAGCTTATACTTTCTTGAATGAACTGACTTGCTTTCATTCTATGCATACATCTTGCTGTATTCTTACTCTTTCACCGTAAACAGCTCTTAATCATTGGGATTAGTTTTCCCAAGTCTAATACAGAAAAATGAGGTCTGAAATAAAACTTCCTCTGAGGAAATGGAATGGCCTCCAAAATTAACTATCATTATAGACCTCAGCTGGTGCTTACAATGAGCAAATATTGCTACAACACCACTCGACTTGCTGTTCCTATGAGTCAAACATGCGCTGGATGTCTACTGTGTGCCAGCACCATTACTCGGAAGGTAATAAAGATGAAACATGACCCCTGCCTTTTAAAGCCTCGTCATCTAGGAGGGAGGGTGGAGATACACAGAGGTAACTCTGATTCAAGACAGACTTATCTGTGAAACAGAGACACAAAGGCCAAGGAAATGGGAGGAAGATTAATTCTATAAATTAGTATTTTTTGACATCGAATGTAAAACTGATAAACTTTTAAAAAATAATACAGTCTGGCTCAGTGCTCATAGCTCAGTGGTTAGGGTGCCGGCCACATACACCAGGTCTGGCGGGTTCGAACACTGCCCAGACCTGCTAAACAACAATAACAACTACAACAAAAAATAGCCGGGCGTTGTGGCAGGTACCCGTAGTCCCAGCTACTTGGGAGGCTAAGGCAAGAGAATCACTTAAGCCCAAGAGTCTGAGATTGCTGTGAGCTGTGATACCACAGCACTCTACCCAGAGTGATATAATGAAACTCTGTCTAAAAACAATACAATCTGAGTAAGAAAAATACCTTAATCTGTGGAAAAACCGCGGACACTCAGGTACCTGCTAATTAGCTGTCTGACTTAAATATACATGCTGCAATAAATCAGAAGGCATATTTTGTTAAGTGTAGATCTGAGTAAATGAATTAGCCTTGTAACCCATCTATTTCCTGAATTCTACCCAAACCCGGATCTCACTTACCTGTCACAGTGAGAACTGCCTCTTGAACTACTCTGTCCTGATTCGTGCTGTGCATCCAAAAGAATCTTCTCCATGTCTCCATTGTGGATGGAGGATGAGGAAGGTACGTGTTCCAGCCCCCCATTCTTCCCATTGCCATTATCATTGCCATTGCTGCTGTTCATGGGAAGCTCCACCCAGGAACCTGTTGGACACGTCAGATAACTCAGTTAACCACAGCAGAACTGAAATCTGTCATGTGCACGCACATGAACGTGGTGGACTCAGATAAGAATACTGACTTGCCTCAAACTAAACGTAAAACCATTCTGAAAAAAATAAACAAAGAGTAATAAAAGTCCAAAAATCTAATAATTCTGTTCTTGAAGTAGCTCATGCAATCAAACAATTGAGAAGAAGCTGGAATTCTAAATCACCATTTTAGAAAATGTGTATTTCTGCCAATTTTCTTTCTGGTTGAAGCTTAATTTATAATAATCAACACTTCACTGAAAACTGAGGTTACTTTTCAAAAAATAAATAGCTACTTCGTTACAAAACAGGCTACTTACATGGTCCACCATAACTAGTCCACAGATAAGCTACCCAGCTGTATGTCCTTCACAATGAAACAGTAAACATACCATTTAGCAATTTCACAAAGGTCATATAAGTAAGTTAACAATTATATCGTAGTCAGTAGAAACTGAGAAGCTCCTAGAAAGGAAACTGAAATCTATCCACAGAAAATTCAATTTATACAAATCTGGAACATAAAAGTAATATAGCTGGTTAACTAAACCATAATGCAAAAAACTGAGAACAGAGCTACCCCGCACATCAGCCCCTTTCCTCTAACCCTTCCCCGTCCCAGTCTCTCCCCTTCTCCTGCACTGAACTTACCTTGTGAGCTTGTCTTCTCTCTCTCCTCTCTCACGAGTTCCTATTCTCTAGGGTTGTCATTAAGCCCCGACAGTCTGGGAGCAGAAACAACTGCACACCAGCTACAGGCAGATGTGCAAGTTTTTATTAGATGAATCGTCAAAAGGGGGTGGAGCCACAGAAAGTGGGGACACCGTACTGGTAATCTGCTTAGGGCCTGAACATATTTACTGGCTCAGTGACTTTGGTGAACATATTAAGAAGCTTAATAACAACTGACTATGGTAGCCAGCAAACCAACTTCACAACAAAAATAGAAAGTGGCATATTTTGTCATAATTTTCATTCCTTATGATAAATTTTATTCTAGAAAATGTAAGCAAGCATTGATAGGGCACTTCTCTGAACTCCCAAGGGAATTCCAGGGATTGAATGGCCAGTCCCATCAGTAAACCAAGATAATCAAAACTGGCTCTAAATGTGACGATGACTATAGCAGATCCAGAATGAATCAACATCACCCTCACAAGGAGGCAAAGCTCCCAGGCAGACCTAACTGGAAATCTGACTCCATCACTTACTATCTACCGTATAACCTGGCCTTCAGCTCCCCACCTATGAAACAGAGCTCATAACACAGGGTTGCTACGATGATTCAACATAGTAATATAAAGAGCCTAGAAAATGGAAGATGTGCAGTTATACACTAGTTAAAAGAGTTTATGAAGTACTTAAAACCATGTTGGCTAAAGAAAGTTACCCTTTCCTTTCATCCTGGGGCAGCACCAGTGGCCGTCACGGTCTCATAACCACCACCAAATCCTCAAGACTGTGCTGCCAAACCCCACAGCTGTCTGACATCTCCGTGGCCTCGTTTCATACCCACACAAAAATGGACACAGACTGGAGAGAACTCAAAATGGATTAACACACACAACCAGCAAAGCTAAAAGAGATCTAACACTGAAGATAATTTAAATATTTGAAGTGTCTCTGGAGTGCATAAGAAATATGCCAAAAGCATCCCTAAATTTAGAGCTCTGCAAAATATTTCAACTGGGGGGGGGGGAGGAGGAGGAAAGGAGGGAGAAAGAGAGCAAAGCAGGGATAGAGAATATGTATATGAAAAATACACTGTTTTTTCCCTACTCCCACTGTCTCTACAATTTTTTAACTTATTTATAAACCAATGGGACCAGTTCTTCTTGTACAGAAGTCCAATGTGTAAAATGAACAAAAACAAATAAAACCCCAGAGCTGCTTTGGCAGAAGCAGAGCAAAGGGACCAGGAGTTCCAGATGGGTCTCTGAAAGTCAGTCTTCCCTAAAATACAATTAGTGTTCACTTGAAATATCAGATCAAAGAGAAAAAGGGCATAATAGATAATACCAGATAGATAATTAACTCAGTCTTCTGAAGGGCTTTCAATCTGATACCTGAATCCCACTTTCTTTCATTAGAAATATATAAGCAATCATAACCTCACATGTATTTTAGGAACTAAGAGATACTTAGAAAAGCTAAGGAAAAGTGATCCGTACTAAGGCCTCTACACCTTGCAGCACAACTGAAGGTAATTCTGTGCAGAGGTGAGGAGCGCAGGCTGAAGCCAGACCCCGATTCTTATCAGTTCTAGCTCTTTCTCCTTGGACAGAGCAATTAATCTCTTTGTGTCTCAGTTTTCTCATCTGTAAAACAGGGATAATAACTGTACCTACCTAATAGTTATTAGGAATAATAAATGAATAAAACACATAGAAAAATAAGAAAGGTCCCTAGTAAGTGCTACGTGTTAGCTATGATAATTATATTCTCTATTTTTTTTTTTTTTTTTGAGACAGAGCCTCAAGCTATCCCCCTGGGTAGAGTGCTGTGGCTTCACAGCTCACAGCAACCTCCAACTCCTGGGCTCAAGCCAGTCTCCTGCCCCAGCCTCCAAAATAGCTGGGACCACAGGCGCCTGCCACAACGCCCCGCTATTTTTTGGTTGCAACCGTCACTGTTGTTTGGCGGGCCCGGGCTGGATTTGAACCCATCACCTTAGGTGTATGTGGCTGGTGCCTTAGCCACTTGAGCCACAGGTGCCGAGCCATATTCTCTATTTTTTAAAAATGATTTCCTAGTGTAAAAATCATGTGTTCCTTAAAAATGTAAATATTAGCACATAAAACTGACAAAATTAACATCTCTCCTCCCAAAAGAAACCATTTTTAACAGTTTCACCTGGAGACATCCAGTTTTTCCAATGAAACAGTTCTGGGGAGAGCACTTGGTGAGATCTCACCTAATGTGCACAGTCAAGGGTACACTTCCCAACAACTGAGAGCATATTACAAATGTCTTACCACAAAAAGCAAGGGAGGTGATGGCTGTGTTAGTTTGAGTTAAGCATTCCACTTTATGTATCAAATCATTGCACTGTATCTCATAAAGGCATACAGATATGATTTTTAAAAAATTAAGTAAAAAATAAAACAAAATACATATAAACAAACAAGATATAGCTGTTTTTTGCTTTAGTTTTTATGAACATACAGAATTGCTGCACATACATATCTGTAAGCAGCGTTTTTCAGATGTCTTTCAATGGCAACACATCCCGACATTCTTCTCAACAACTGCACTGCATCTCATCGTTTATAAAGATATATTATACTTCATTACCTAAATGATCATAATAATCTGTTCTTACAGTCAGGGCTTCAGTCAACGTTCTGAAGGGTAATTTGGCAATATGTATTAAGAGCCTTAAAAAAAAGAACACTTTCTTTAACTCAGTTCTACTTCAGAAATACTATCTACGGAAATATACCGTCCCATAGAGAAATTTATGTACACAGACATTCATGAAAAAGCTACATATTAGCTTTATCCTGAGCACCACACAAAAAAAGCACATTTGCTTTTCTTTTTTGAGGCAGAGTCTTACTATGTCACCCTCGGTAGAGTGCCATGGCGTCAGAGCTCACAGCAACCTGTAACTCTTGGGTGAAGCAATTCTCTTGCCTCAGCCTCCCAAGCAGCTGGGACTACAGGTGCCCACCACAACACCCGGCTATTTTGTTGTTGCTGTTGTCAATGTTGTTTAGCAGGCCCAGGCTGGGTTAAAACCGGCCACCCCAGTGTACGTGGCAAGCGCCCTAACCACTGAGTTACAGGCTCCAAGCCTGTTTTTCTTAATAGATGAGCTACACATGCCTTTTTCATTCCAGCCTCAGAGTTTTTAATATTCTAACTCTACCAGTCCTCACAAAGTCGCTTCTTACTTGGAAAGGAAACAAGGCAAGATATGAGGATTGTGCCGTCCAAGCAATACAAAGCAGAAAACAACCTCAGAGTGCATTCTCTTAAGCTTTAAAACAAGGTTTTCCAACCTTTTCCCTTTTTTCTCTGCCACACATTGGAAGAACTGTTTTGGCCACACATTTACTACACGTCACTAAGGAAAGCTGATTAGCAAAAAGTCAGTGCATATCTGACACCACAGACAAGCAACAAGCAGTCCTCACACAATCAGCCGCTGCCCAGGCCCACACCCCTGCTTTAAAACTAAAAGCTGGAAGCCTTCCCTATTATTTTAAAGAGACTATTTACAAATTAAAAGCTATTCCTTTATGCCCGTTTGTACATACACAAGATAACATATTTCCTAGTTTCAAGTCTTTGGGAATGGCTAAGAGATTCAGAGAGACATGTTTCTCCATTCTCTAACACAGTAGCTTGTGGTGGTTAGTCCAATAATTTTGATTACATTCTTTATAGTTTTTTAATCACTGGCTCAACCTTCCAAGAAGGGGAGAAGAGAACTTTCAGGACAGGGGAAAGAAAGAACGAAGAGTATTTCCCCTTACTTTTTTCTTTTTTGAGACGGAGTCTCAAGCTACCCCCCTGGGTAGAGTGCCATGGCATCACAGCTCACGGCAACCTTCAACTCCTGGGCTCAAGCGAGTCTCCTGCCTCAGCCTCCCAAGTAGCTGCGACCACAGGCGCCCGCCACAATGCCCAGCCATTTTTTGGTTGCAGCCATCATTGTTGTTTGGCGGGCCTGGGCTGGGGATTCGAACCCGCCACCTTAGGTGTATGTGGTTGGCGCCTTAGCCACTTGAGCCACAGGCGCGGAGCCCCCTTATTTTTTTCTAACTTTTCAAGGCCCCAGGTGTAACTCTTATCCTAACTAGAAATGACAATTTCACCGTATTTATCTTCTTTCCTCAAAGCCTTTCTTTTGTTGGTTTCAAGTACTTAATGCTGGAATCCAGAACAGACCAACAACGGTCACTGGCATTCTTTTTTTTTCTCCTGAGACAGTCTTACTACGTTGCCCTCAGTAAAGTGCTGCAGCGTCATAGCTCACAGCAACCTCAAACTCTTGGGCTTAAGCAGTTCTCTTGCCTCAGCTTCCCAAGTAGCTGGGATTACAGGCCCCCACCACAATGCTCGGCCATTTTTTTGTTGTTGCAGTTGTCATAGTTGTTGTTCAGCGGGCCCAGGCTGGGTTGGAACCCGCCAGCCCGGGTGTATGTGGCTGGCACTGCAACCATTGCACTTCGGGCACCAAGCCATCAGTGGCACTCTTAAAAAAAAAAAAAAAAAAGTTGGCATTTTTGCTGAAGTGTGTACTTACACATCAGTTATTACATGTATGTATTCAAAACACTATTATTTACAAGGCAGTGACACTCATGAGAGCCTAAAGAGCACTCTTGCCATAATGGGAAAGCAAGTACATCATGGTTGAAGATATTTTAAAAAGACAAAAAAAAAAAAAAAAAAGATGTACTTCCGAATAACAACACTACCTTGATTTTCATTATATTGACTACTAAATCTTATGACATAAATGTCTTTTTATTTTCATTGTCTTTATTTAGAGATCACTCATAGTTTTCTAAAAAAAACCCAAAAAACTGACAACTGGAAAACATCCTTTTAACTTCAGAAGTAGTTTGGATATTTGCCCTGAACAGTCCCTCTCGAGTGGTAAAATAAAATAAAGCTAAAAATAAGAAAACCAAAGAAAGGCTTCACTATTTCAAATATTTTAATAATCTGCTATTAAAACTCTGCTTTGACCCCTGAACTAAAGATAAAATCCCAAACCAGAGATAATCTGTACAATGAGTCTTATCTCCCGTTTCTCATAGTTGTACAACTTTACCCAACAAAGTACTTTAACTTCTCAGCAATTTGGACAGTCCTCTAATAGATGCCTAGATGAGCTTGTTTTGCCCAGTGCCCAAAAATCACTTCAAGGAAATCAATAAGCCTTCTTGTTTTGTTCAGTTCAGTGTTGTATAACAAAAAGAGTAAGAAGCAAGAAAGAAGTAATTAAATATGGTGTTATCTAAACATTTTTCAGTAACTTTTTTTTTTTTAAAAACAGTCTCACTATATTGTCCTGGGTAGAGAACCATGGTATCACAGCTCATGGCAACCTCAAACTCTTGGGCTTAAGTGATCCTCTTGCCTCAGCTTCCCAAGTAGCTAGGACTACAGGTGCCCACAACAATGCCAGACTATTTTTGTTGTTGTTGTTGTCACAGTTGTCATTGTTGTTTTTAGCTGGCCAGGGCCAGGTTTGAACCAGCCAGCCTTGGTGTATGTGGCTGGCACTGTAACCACTGTGCTCAGGCCGAGCCAATTTTCAGTAACTTTTATAAATCCACCCTACCCCAAATGAAATATTTTCTATCTAGCAGACTTCTCAAAGCAACATTTTCATGCAAAATGCAGGCTGTGTGAACCTCTACTTCTGTAGGAGATAATGAAATGGTAGCAGGAACCGACTGGCCAAAGACACCAAACACCTCAGAGGTATGTCAGACACCAAAGTAAACGTTCATATGTATGTCAACTCCATTTGTTTTGTTAAAATATCAAAGGAAAATTAAAATCCCTTTGCCTTCTATGAAATCATATACACATACCAATCAAATGTCTTCACTCAACACTGGGTAGAGTAACACACTGAGAGAATAAGAAACACGTATGGTATCATCAGGAGATTCTGACCATTGTCCTGAAAAATGCCCTGGACTGGCTGAAAGTTGGAACCTCAACTCTAGGTCCCAGCCAGCTGTGAACTTCAACAAGACCCCTTACTCTAGACCTGTTTCTTTCCTGGTATATAATAGGCCACTGTTAGCTCTGAAGTCTCCTCCCCTTCTAAAGTTCGTGTTTGGAATAGAGTATTTTAAATGGGTAAATGCTGTGATTTAAGAGGGCTCATTAATACAGGATACAAGTAACATTTAAAAATACGTACGATAATTATAATTTACTTTTGGAAATAACAAAAATCTTACATTCTACAACATAAAATAAGACACTTTAAAGGTTTTTTCTTTTTTTAAAAAGGTCAACGTTTAGGGAATTACCCTATCAAAACATGGAATTGCAGCATCCATCTTAAAATATCCAAATTCCATCCCCACTTTCTGAGGACAGGAACTCTCTCTTCTGAAATAAATGTTTAAGCTACGTTCGAAGCACTTCCCGTCTTATGAAAGATTCTCCATGACCTTTAAGCTTCCAAATGGTTTTTAAAACATTTCGCCTGGCCATATGGTAACTGCCCCCACTGCATCTTTCATAAGAGACGAATTACAAAAAGGTTAGGCAAGAGCTCCGAGCTCTCAGACAACTGGGAATAGACTTAGGACAAGATGTCTGAGCACCACAAGGTTATGAAAAGCAAGTTTCAACTGCCTGTCTGTACTGACTGTGTTTTAAATTTTGTTTCTGAAAATTCACTGCCCCTGACTCCGTGATGTGTGCAATCTCGGGTCCGTCCTAAAACGTCTTTACTATGCTCACAACCCCATCGTTACAAAAAGAAAAACAAGAATAATCACTTGAGTAACTTTGAAAAATCTCAGAAACAAAATAGCAGGAAAAAAAAAAAAAAAAAAGAGGAAAAGCATAGCCTTCTCACCCCCACACGTGATTCAAGCAACCACTAAATTACCAAATGGATTTTCCTGACCAACATGTGGCAACAAAGGGGCCCAACCAGGGGGCTCACGTGCGGCCCCGGAAGCGCGGCCTTCGAGGCGGGCTCGGTGGGCGCCCCGGACCTCGCCCGACCCCCGAGGCCGCCCCCGGCGCGGCCGCCCGCTCCTCCCCGCCCGCCGCGTCCATCCCCCGGCGGCCCAGACGCACGTCCTCGGCCCGGCCCACGTCCCCGCGCCCGCCCGCCCCCTGCCCGCCGCGATGGGCTCCGCTCCAGGCCCCCCCGCAGGTGGGACCCGACCGTCCCGCTGCCGCCTTTCCTTTCCCCGCCCGCCTGGCCTCCCCACCCGCGTACTCAAGCGACCCCCAACCCAAGACCCCAGGAGAGTGCAGAGACAAGCCAGGAGAAAGCCCGGGGCACCTACTCCTGACAGGTGACGGGCGCTGTCAGTCATCCCAACATCCCCGGCCTGGACCAATGGGCTGCCTTCTCCTCCCGCCCCCCGCGCGGCGCCGGCGCCGGCGGCCCGGCCAGCTCCTCCTCCCCCATCCCCTCCGCCGAGCCCGTCGGCCCAGCACTCACTGTTGAGGCCGGCTGGTGGGGGCAAAGGCTGCTCCCCTTCCTCGCAGTTATTGTTGTTATTGTGCAGGGGCGGTGGCGGCTCCACTAAGTGGGACATGTCGGGTGACTGGAACAGCTGCGGCCGCAGCAAGACCGTCTCCGGTTCTCCGGCAGCAACACAACAAGCCGAGTCCCCCGCCCCCTTTTCTGCGCCTGCGCGGTCCCGCCCCTGCTCTCACGTCAGGGCCCGCCCAGGCCACGTGATGACAACACAACAACTGGCGGGGCGGGGCGGGGGCGTTACCTGCCGGCTCCAGAAGTGCCGACGCGCGAGACGCGCTGCCGGGCGCGTCCGGAATGAATTCCTGCGTGTAATTTGGAGTGACCGGACAGCGTGAGTTATGCTGATGGCACTGGGATAGAGGATGGGGAGAAGCAAGTAATGAGGAAGTGCGCTGTGTTAGCGCCCAGGTAGCCTCCCACGCTTGCAGAATCCACATTGTTTTGTCTAGTCCCTGAGCGTTTCTTTCTGTGACATCTTTTAACGATTCATTTCTGGAATTAGGGATGGTGGGAACACAAAGGATCCAAAATCTCGGTAATTAACATAAAATAAAGCTGGTGAAACAAATGCTTTAAATAGAAAGCAATATAAGGCCGCTCAGACCTTTAATTAAGAGAATTTTAAAAATTAATTACAAAAGTAACACACTATCATTGTAACTGAGACAGACAGATGTGACTAGTCCTATTTCTGGGACGTGGCATGGGAAGCCAGGTAACTTGTAATGGTTGACAGTAAACTTTATTAACACTCCACCTAAGTGTTTTCTAAGGGTTTCTCCTGGGTAGTTCATATTAATGGAATCATGTTGCTTTTGTGTCTGGATTCTTTCACTTAGCATAATAATGTTTGTGAGATTTCTCTACATTGTAGCTTGTACCAGTACTAAAGACCAGTAATGAATCCTGGTATGTACATAAGTTGTATGCTGAAGAAAAACGTAGCAGAGAAAATACTCGCAAGAGTGAGATCTAAGTCTATAAATAGTAAAAAAAAAAAAAAAAAACACGTTTCAATTAAGGTAATTATTTTGGGTCAAAACTGTATTATGCTAAAAATGCTTTACTTTGATCTCCGAAGTTTCCTTCAGTTCTAGAACTGTGCCTTGTTATTTTCCCTGGGGAAAAAAAATAAGGAAATAGACATTTTCTAGGAAATTTGGTAATAGTTTTGGCACCTATAATATTGGACCTAGGATCTTGAGCTTGTTTCATTATCTAACAAAGCTTTGTCCACAGCCTTTCTGGTGGATAGTTGTAATACTGTGCATCCAGATTTTAAATGTATACAGAACTTTCAGGAAATTGTTCTAACAATATAATCAGAGAGCATGGGATGTTTGCACATGGATAGTCATTCCAGCATTATTTTCAATTAAAAAAAAAACTTAGACAAAAATCTAGATGTAGCTAATAGGAAGTCAGTATAACCAGTTCCAATCCAGTTTTTCTGCCAACCGCATACTGTCCAGCTCTTGACTTATCTGGGGTGGGAAAGAGATTGATGGATTGCTTGTAATTATCCTACACTTTTTTTTTTTTTTTGAGACAGAGTCTCAAGCTGTCCCCCTGGGTAGAGTGCCTTGGCATCACAGCTCATAGCAACCTCCAACTCCTGGGCTCAAGCGAATCTCCTGCCTCTGCCTCCCAAGTAGCTGGGACCACAGGCGCCCACCACAACGCCTGGCTATTTTTTGGTTGCAGCCATTCTTGTTGTTTGGCGGGCCCTGGCTGGATTCAAACCCTCCACCTTAGGTGTATGTGGCTGGCACCTTAGCCACTTGAGCCACAGGCGCCAAGCCTATCCTACACTTTTTAAAGAGAAAAACATAGATATTAACTCACCAGATGATTGTATTATCTATTTTAGGTTATGTAAAATAAAGTATTTTTGCTTATTTTGTTATTATTATTATTATTTTTGGAGACAGAGTCTTACTCAGTCACCCTGGGGTTGAGTGTCATGGCATCATAGCTCACAGCAACCTCAAACTCTTGGGCTCAAATGAGTTTCTTACCTCAGCCTCCAGAGGAGCTGGGACTATGGGTGCCTTCCACAAGGCCCAGCTATTGTTTATAAAGTTTTTGAGTGTGGTGTTTCTTCAAGCAATCTCCAGGATGAAGTCCAGGCTTCCTCTTGCATGTCTCAGTAGAAAATGGTTTCCCTCCTTCCCCCTTTCTCATTTCTTCTGCTGCAAACCACGCAATCCTTTGTTGAGTTTGTATTATAAGATGCATCTTCCCATTTCATCTTTTCTCAGTGTCAGAGGATGGTCTTCCCCTCCTTCCTGACATTCTGTTCCGCACATTGCTCACAAGCTGAGTGATGAGATTTCTCCTGTAAGCAAGCCATGGCTGCACGTCTTCTCCACTCTCTTTATCTAATAAGTAAAGGACGTAGCTGTTCACAACTGCATCTTCCATCAGCCAGAATAATTTTTCCACCATTTGTAGGACTTCCTTGTAAATCCATAACATCCACGGTACGGATCAGCTCTGTCCACTCTTCCCATAAATTTTATGTATTCTCAAATGTCAGTTTTTCAAATCGAATAGGCTGTTTCTTCCTAAAACCAGTGGTCAAGTGTGTTTGAGGGCCAGAAAATCTACTCAGCATTGTCACTAACCTCTTGTCATGGAATGAGAAGCACATCATTTTCATATCACTGATAAGCAGCTAATTCCTGTTCTTGAAGTATTATCTTTTTTAGATCACTTGGAAAATCCTTCCTAGAAGCCGTAACTGTTCCTGTTATGTGGATTTCCATTTCATGCAATTCTGGAGCAAGTTGAGGCCTGTGTAGAACCTGTCGGTGTAGATGTGATAGCCCGAACCACTTGTATGTGCTTGCAAAACTTGTGCCAGATGAGTCACTATTTGAGATATAAATGGAAAATGAGGACGAATAAGACTTTCTGTCGGTGTCTTGCCATAATAGGGAATGTGAGAAAATACATAACCATTTCTGAATCACACAGTCAAAAACGCAACCAAACAGAAAAAAAATTATGTTGGACATTTTCCGACATTAATGCAAAACAGGAAACTCATTATTTCGGACGAGGTCCAACATAGAATTGGAAAGGGTTGTTACAGAATGGCATATCCCCATGGTGTAGTCACAGAATGAGCAAAGTAATCCTCTTCTGTCATCTCAGAGATGGAGATGGTCTTAAATGAGATATTTATTAGAATGCGATGCAATCATGATGTGCCCTGGAAGATAATTTTACCATTGGCTACATTAATTTTTGAGCATCAATTCTGGAATACCATACTCAATTATTAATAGATGTAATTTTTCCTGGTTTGGCCCTAATTTTAAAGCATAAGAAGGGAAGCAAACCTGAATGATCACAGAAGGGAAGGGAAGTATATGTAGTTGAGTAAGTTGAAGAGAGACTGTTGACTTTCTTATCCCATGACCAATGTCTGCAATATGGGTCAGCCCTAGGCTGCAGTGGACAGAGAGAAGTGAAGATTAAGTGGGAGAGGAGATAGGAGGAGGGAAAGAAGTTTCCATTTTCTGAGACTAGCAGGGTTCCTGGTGTGGCATTCCTGCACATCTTACAGCCACGTTCCCTGATGACTGAGTCTTTTTAGACATTCCACCCTAAGTGGTATTGGACAACAAGAGATTGATCTAGATTTGGGCTAAGAACTTCATGTCTTCGGCTCGGCGCCTGTGGCTCAAGTGGCTAAGGCGCCAGCCACATACACCTAAGGTGGCAGGTTTGAACCCAGCCCGGACCCGCCAAACAACAATGACGGCTGCAACCAAAAAATAGCCAGGCGTTGTGGCGGGCACCTGTGGTCCCAGCTACTTGGGAGGCGGAGGCAGGAGACTCGCTTGAGCCCAGGAGTTGGAGGTTGCTGTGAGCTGTGAAGCCATGGCACTCTACCCAGGGGGATAGCTTGAGGCACTGTCTCAAAAAAATGAAAAAAAAGAAATTCATGTTTTCAAAGATACTGTAAGAAAGCAAACTGGCATTTGGTAAACTCAAAATATTCGCTTCGTTCTGCTAGGTCTGCTAAGCACTTTAGAGACTAAAGCAAAATACATTTCAATCCCCCAAAGGGGCAAATACTGCATTTCTCTCAGTAGAGTTGACTGATGGCTATGTGGCCCTTGACAAAACAGTATTTAATATTTTGTTACTAGAAAACTCTATCAAACACTTAAGGAAGAAATTACTATGTATAACAATTTTGCCACATTCTTCAATAGTATAGGAGAGCAGAAAAATTGATTCTATAGAATCACATTACACTAACCAGAAGATGACATGAAGAGGTAAGGAAACTACAGATCAATTATTCCTCACAAACATGATGCAAATACTAGCAAAAAAACAATTCAGCATTACTCCAGGAATTCAAGGCTGGTTGAACATTTGAAATCAATATAATTCATCACGTCAACATTATTAAAAAAATCCACCTGATCATTTCAAGAGATGCAGAAAAAACACTTGACGAAATCCAACACTGTTCACCATTAAGAACCCTTGGAAAGTGAAAACAACCTAAATGCCCACCAACCCAGAAATGGGTTAACAAACTGTGGTATATGTATACCATAGAATACTATTCAGCCATTTAAAAAGATGGAGACTTTACATCTTTTGTATTAACCTGGATTGAGTTGGAACACATTCTTCTTAGTAAAGTATCACAAGAATGGAGAAGCAAGAATCCAATGTATTCAATTCTAATATGAAGCCAGTAGATCATCTAATACACACCCACATAAGAGAAAAACTCCAATCAGTTCAAGGTGGTGGGCAGGGGAATGAGGGAGCAGGGAAAGGGACTGGGGGGATCATGGTGTACGGCACACTTCTTGGAGGTAGGACACAATTACAACAGGGACAAATGAAGTCAGTGTAATCTAATTCTTTGTACCCTCAATAAACCCCAAACAATGAACAAGAAGGGTGAAAGAAAAAGAACCATCGTCACTAACCACTAAGCCTAATAAGGCATTTACAAAAATTCTAGAACATCCTGAATATTAAGACTACATGCTTTCCCCTAACACTGGGATCAAGGCAAGGATGTGTCTGCTCTCACTTCTATTCAACCTTGTATTGGAGGGATTATCCAGCAAAGGAGGACAAGAAAAAAGAAAGAAAAGGAATGGAAAGGAAGATTGTAAAGAAAGAAAACATTTATTATAAATAATAACCTGAAGATGCAATTGTCTCCATAGTTTTTTAAAATCTCCGTTCGCGAAATTTGGCAAGGTGTCAGGATACAAGGTCAATATATAAAAATCCATTGTATTTCTGTATGTAATCAGTGAACACTTGGAAATTTGAAAGGTCTCATTTGCAGTACTGTATATATGTATAAATGCAAATGGCCATAGAAATAAATGTAAAAAACGCCAACTATTAAACTTCCAAAAATAACATTTGTGATCTTCAATTAGGCAAAGACATCTTAGATATTACACCAAAAATATGATCCTTAAACAAAGTAGACTTCAAAATGAATAATGAACTTCTCTTCAAAAAGCACTTTTGAGGGCGGTGCCTATGGCTCTAAAGAGTAGGGCGCCGACCCCATATGCCTGAGGTGGCAGGTTCAAACCCAGCCCCGGCCAAAAACTGCAAAAAAAGAAAAAAAAAAAAAAGCACTGTTGAGAGTGAAAGAAAAGCCAAACCTCAGCTTGGGAGAAAATATTTACAAAGCATATGTCTGATTTAAAAAGACTTGTATCCAGATGACTCATATGTCAGAAATATATAAACAAATTAGATTTCTATTTTTGACTTTTTCAAATTTACGAACATAAAACAGGGAGTTTTGTCCAGTTAATGGGTATGAAAATACAGGCCATCCTGTGTCCTTATGATAGAGCTTTATGGGAATTTGACAATATGTGCCAAATCTTAAATTTTCATGTTCATGTCTATCACCTAACACCTAGTAATTTTATCTCCAGGAGTGCATCTAAATAATTTTGCACAAGATTGGTTAAGTATATACGTTCATTATTCTGCTAGGTGTGGTAGCTGACACCTGTAATCCCAGCTACTCAGGAGGCTGAGGCAGGAGGGTTGCTTGAGGCCAAGAGTTTGAGACCACCCTGGGTAACACAGTGAAACCCCATGTCAAAAACAAAACGGACTGGCTAAATAAATTATGGCACATAAATAAACGTGAAGCTACATAAGTATGAAAACCTTGCTTACAGACATTTGATACGGGAAACTGCTTAACACCATGTTAAATGGAGAAATAGGACATTAAGCTGCCCATGATTCCATTTTCTACGAAAATAATTATATGGCCAGGACAGAGAAAATACATAAAAATGGGAATGGGAGTTTTCTCTGCATGGTACTGCTGGCAAGGTATTTCTTTAAAAGTACTTTCCAAAGAGCATATATTCAGAAAACTATTTTTTTTTTTAGAAAAAAGTTAAATCAGCATAAATGTGCAACATGAGAAAGAGAAAGCCAGTATGGCACATGGACTCATTTTGCAGAGGGGTGAGCAGGTGGAGTGGTTGGAAGGAGGCTCAGAACCTTTCTTTCAACTTCGCTTCTGCTGCTTCCGCAGTCGAGTCTGGCTCTGCTAGACACCAAAGTTGGTGTGTGAGTCCCCTCCACCCCATCACTGGGTCCTAGAATGCTTATTCTAGGATCATGTTGAAGCATGGCTTTATTTATATACTTTGGACTTCCCCTTTGTTTCTTGGCTTGGTTTTTAATAATTAAACTCCGCTACTACAGATGGAGAACTCCTCGGTTTATGCATTCTGGAAAAGACCTCATAAATGCCACTCGGGACTTAACCTCTGCCCCCTAGTGGGTAAGTCCTCAAATAACTTGTTGCTATTCACATATAGGAAAGAGTAGAACAATGAACAAGGACAGAAAATAGCTTTTCCCCCTTATGCCAGTTAAAGTATCTTATCACCCCCACCAGTTTTTTTTGAGACAGTTTCATTTCGTCACCCTCGGTAGTGTCCTGGCATCACAGCTCACAGCAACCTCAAACTCTTGGGGTCAAGCAAGTCTCTTGCCTCAGCCTCCCAAGTAGCTGGGACTACAGGTGCCCACAACGCCTGGCTGTTTTTTGAGATGGAGGGTCTCGCTCTTGCTCAGGCTGGTCTCGAACCTGTGAGCTGAGGGCAATCCACTGGCCTTGCCCTCCCAGAGTGCTGGGATTACGGGTGTGAGCCACTGACCCAGCATACATCCCTCCTTTTGAAAGAAACTAAGCTTTGGAGGTGGCTTCTTTTTGTTAAGAACTGTGCTAGGGAGGGGCTTACTCAGGCCTGTAAGATCGATGTTTGTTCACACAGAGGTGGCAGGTTATACAATTGAAGACCTGTAGGCCCTAACACACTGAGGCAAACTCAAAACTGCCTTTATGACACTGGACACTTTGAGACCTCGCAGATTCACAAATACTAAAAATGGGTTGAAATGTTTCCATCTCGTATGTGTAATTACAAAACTAAGTGGGGTCACCTTCCAAGGCTTTGTGGGGGAGGAAAGGCGTGTAGCAAGACTTTGTAACCACTGTTGAATAAACACACACAGCTTAAATCACCAACCATCTGAACAGTTACCTGCAAGTGGTGCTCTCAAATACAAAAGTAAACTAACTTGGTTCTTGACGACCTAGCATACGCCCTTTTTTGGAGGGAGCGGGCAGCTTGGGCAAATGACTGTCTCCTTTAGACTCCGTGTGTGTGGCAGGGAAGGGATGCGGAAGCAAGGCCCAACAAAGGGGAGGGCTTAAACAGCACTAAAATTCATCAGCACTGCTTAGCTTTCCCGTCCGCACAATTCTGTAATGATGGCACATCTCGTAGTTACACACTGAAAAGAAAGTCCTCCTATTTCTAGTTTTAAGATTGTATCTAACGGGAATATCTTTCATAGTTAAGGCTTAAAAAATTCTCTTAATTTTCAAAGGAAATCCATGCATAGAGGTTATTCTTTTTATTCTAAGGGCCTTACAGAAGCTTAATATCCAGTAGTTAGTTGTTATATAAACATGTTTATATAGAGAATTATAAAATAATCTTATTGCCCAGCCACTAAGATGAAGAGATTAACAGAAGTTCATTTTCCTACCATAAACTTTTTTAAAAAGCTAAGAGAAGGGATGAAATATGTGCATGTATATTAGTGGCAAGAGAGTAGAAATAAAAAGTAACTTGACAAGACTAAGTTTATTCTAAGTATAACTTTTATTAATAAAAAGATTAACCATGACCATATAAAATGAGTGGCTGGGCTTATCGTTTGCTACACCAAAGAAATTAAAAAATTAGTATTTGAGAATGTTACAATAATTTATAATAGCATTCCTTGATAGAAGCATTTTAATTTTAGCAATTATGTTTCTCTTAAATATATAAAACTAACCCTTAGTGTCATGGATGAGAACCATCACAGCTACTGATGAATCAAAAAAGAATTTCCAAAAACTGTTGGGTGGTATTATCTCAAGACATAACAACCAGGCTGCAATGAAACAACCTCCCAAAAAGATCTTCTGGGAAGCTGCCCAATCGAACACAGGAAGAACGTCACTGTTTGATACTTCTGGCAGGGCAATATTCTACTTGCAAGTCAAATGTGAAGAATAAATAACACAAATTACAAATGTACCCGAGATCCCCAAATAAATTAGTAAAAGTGCCATTAAGAATTATCAGACATATAATCAAGGTGTTTAAATACAAATTCAGATTTCTTAAGTCCAAAAGATACAGTAATTTTATTACATAAAATTTCTGTGTGCTAAAAATGTTAACTTACAAGACATAATATTGTAATAGTGTAGAGGGAATCATGGCCGATTTGTTTAATCATTTTTCATTATTGAAGAATAGAACAATAGGTAGTGGACACACAAGAAGCACTCTGAGTCCTCTAAAATTCAAGGCTGTTACATTACTGCTCAACCAAAATAGACTACCATTCTCTAATAATATATATGCCTGCTCAATTCATCTCTTAAAAATAAAGTCCATTTTTCTCCATTAAAGCTTCTTCAAGACTGGCAAAGGAACATTCTACCTCTTAAATACAGGAGTACGCTTCATCTTTGGATAAGGTATCACCACTCCGGGAAAATGCAGTCTTATCACTAAATTATTATTTCAGGCAGCTATCGGAGTCCATCAAGCACTTTTTGAACACTGTACCTTTAAGGTTTGTCTTTAATATAGCTTTGGAAAACCGAAAATAGAAGAAAAATATCTATGGCAAAGTACATTTCATGGTAATTTGATAGCAGTAAAAATTTAAAAAAAAAGGGTATTTAGTGCAGTGTCAGTTTTATCTATGTAAATCACCTGATGTTAATTTTCTGCTTTAGCATACGTATGATAGAATGATCAAAAAAAGTTTTAACCTGTTAAAAACATTTTTAAGTCTCTGACTTAGTATTTAGTAAGGCAAAAATGAAATTAAGCACTGTAAAAAATCTTTAAAAATTATGTTCTACAAATTTGGTTCCCATTTACAACAATTTCATTGACAGATAATGAGTTAAGTATAGACACAATGTATCCAAAACCCTCACATAGCTACAGTTTAAAAAAAAAACCCTCTAGTAGTATTTATAGACTGTGAAATCCTTAATACCACCAATATATTTCAAAACATGTTCACACAGAACCGATACCTCTCCTTCAAATAAAAGAACACTTGTTAAAAATAATTAACAGAAATACCAATAAAACAATGGAAACCCATTTCATTTCACTGCGCCCAAGGGTATGACACAAAATATTGGTTTAAGAGGTAGGTTAAAAAGAAAAAGAAAACCAGATTCTCCATTCTTTGTCACTTTTATTCAGTAGTAGTTTTTTTTCCTTATTTTCAGTGCCAGACATGGCAAGGAGTGATTACAGCCAACTGTTATTAAAACATTTGTTCGCAACATATACCCCCTTTATTCCACTGACCCCAAACTGACTCATTTTGTGTGCTTTCATTCTTTTTAATATACCACCACCAAGACCAGGTGGAGGGGGCAAGGGTAAGAGAGATGAAGGGGAAGAGTCCAGGAGGCCAGGAGAGGAGGAATGCTACAAGCCACAGTAAGGATGAGCTGTATTTAATTTAAAAAAAGGGGGAAGGGGTGTACCCCACAAATGATACAGTAATGAGGATACACAATTAAATCCCATAGCATGACTGAAGGCTTTCACTGTGTTTGACGTCATCACAATGGAAGGCATAAAAGTGGAGTAAATCAATGTTGATACAGTCCAATCTAGTCCATTAGGCAAGATGGTGCAAGAAGTCATTTAAATTAAAAGTGCCCTACCCTTACCTAAATGGCTAGCAGACATGGAGAACACCAGTGATGAATCCACTAGAGCTTTCTCCATGTAGCTATAAAAATGTGTTGTCGAATGGCACACTGTCAAACACTGGAAAGGGGCGCCACAATGGACCTCTCTCTTTTATAGGTACGAATGCTAGATTCAACTATCTCAACTAAGCAGGAAGTGGGTTCTTCTGCTAGGAATGCCAACCCTAATTCACTTTGTCTTGAAATATATACAGATTGTTTGTAGTAGCTACAGCAATGATATTCTCCTTGGGGTGCCAGGCTGTGTGAAGGATTTTCTTGTTGAAGTCTAGGCTGTCAACACTTATTTCATCTTTCTTTCGCTTGCCGCTTGCACAGACTTTGCGTGGCTTCAAAACTGTGCGAGGCTTATTGTTTTCCCGTGATGCTTCTAGGGTTATGTCTCGCTTTGTGTTCCTGTCAAACATTCTGAAGAAGTTATTGTAAGATCCAGTCATGACAACACTGTGAAAAGTAGAAAAAACAATCAAACGAGTAGAACAAGTGATTGTTTTTAAAGTAACTGGCTGAGGGATGAAACCTAGTGTAGTACTCCACAGGAAACAGCTACTTCAAGCAGATCTGAATGATGGGACAGGGCTACCAATAACCTAATCACTGCAATAAAGCCATAATTATAGGAAGAATTAGCTTGGCTTTCTGTCAATTACTCCTTTTCATGACTACCAAAACTACCACAAACGCTTACAGCATTGTTAAGTAAAACTTCTTAGTATACTTAATTATCTTGAATATTTTTACAACTATAGGGCATGGGATCAATTCCACCAGCCAACCTCTTGAAGTACCAGTCAGCTGTGGAATAAAACCAATCTGCATGAAATAGCAGTTCAGTTCATAAGAAACCAGTGTTTTATTTTTATTATTTAAATTATAAACTAATTTGTTCCCAGGGTATTGTCTAGTTCAAATAATCACATTTTATGAATGCTTATAATGAACCTACTCCTGAGAATATTCTTTTTTTTGAGACAGTCTCACTATGTTGCCCTGGGTAGGTAGAGTGCTGTAGCATCACAGCTCACAGCAACCTCCAACTCTTGAGCTTAAGTGGTTCTCTTGCCTCAGCCTTCCAGTATCTCTGCTCCTGAGCATATTAAGAAAGTGTCATTACATTGTTTACAAACAAAAATCATTTTTATTTAAACCATAAAAGATATTTTTAAGTAAATATTTTTACAAGTTATCAGTTCAAAAGGGTGACAAATTCATGGCTTTCCTAAGAGACTTTCTTGTCCTGCCCAGATGTTATCCTTTACTGTCCAGCTTACTACTAAGTATATCCTCATACACAAAACCATGTAAATTTGAAACTCTGAATAATTTGGAGAAGGCCTGGTGCTACCACTACTTACCACATGGCTAAAATTATTGCTGTAATAAGATTACAGGATACCAGGGGACTGTTCAAAGTAATGTTTATATACACGGGTCGTTTACTACACACACACACACACACACGATTGTCTTCTAGCCAGTTGTGTCAATCCCCTCTAAGGGACACTTGACAACAATTTTAATCAAACAAGTTGATTCATGATCCTGAAGATAATAAAACTATATAGATTTAAAAATGATTTATATAATTTATATTAGCACCCCCATGTTACCTATATCTGTGAGGTTTTTTTTTTTTTTTTTTTTGAGTCAGAGTTTCACTTTGTCACCCTTCATAGAGTGCCAAGGTGTCATAGCTTACAGTGACCTCAAACTCTTGGGCTTAAGCAATCCTCTTGCCTTAGCCTCTCGAGTAGTTTGGACTACAGGCACCCGCCACAATGCCTGGCTAGTTTTCAGAGATGGGGTCTCACTCTTGCTCAGGCTGCTTTTAAATTCCTGAGCTCAGCAATCCACCCGCCTCATCCTCCCAAAGTGCTAGGATTACAGGCATGAGCCACTGCACCTGGCGATCTGTGAGGTTTTAATGGGTTAGACACCTAGGCCATTTGTAACTTTTATAAGGCATCATTAGGCCCATTTCTCTATGAAATTCCTGCCCCCCAAAAGTATAACCTGAATTAATCATAAAGAAATATTAGGTAATAACTGAAATTAAGAAATATTGTATAAAATAACCAGCTTGTATTCTTAAAAAATGCCAAGGTCATGAAAGGCCAGGGAAGAATGCAGAACCATTCCCAGAATAAAGGAAATTAACAAGATATTACAACAAAATGTAACATATGATCTTGAAGTATACAGTGGACCAGACCGTTGTTCTGTGCCATAAGGACAACCAGTGCGGTAACTGGTGAAACTGCAAGGGACATGTGGGTAGATGGCAATACGGCGTCAATGTGGACCCTGCTGCTTCAGATGCTTACACTGTCATCACACTGGAGGGCATCACTGTCTTTGGGGAACTATCAATTAATGAAATTAGGGGTAATGGATATCATGTTTAGAGTCTACTCCCAATGGATGCCCCAGAAAAAGTGTGTGCGTGTGTACTTACATAGACAGGATACAGCTATGAATAAACAGTTAAGAGACCATGATACAGCAAACAGCATTGGGGGGGAGGCTAAATGAAGAGTTCTTCGTGTTATTCTATCAATTTTTCTGAGTCTGAAATTATTTAAAAATTTTTGTAACATGAAGAGAAATAACCTCTTCTGATAATGGGACATAAAACTGCTAACATGTGCTTCAACCCCACCAGGAAGAGCCCGAGGTGCTGCAGTGCCCCAGACCCTGCTGCGCCAGTGTCTTGCTCTCTTCCTCCCTTCCTCCCTTCCTTCCTCTGGATGCCTCAGGTTTATGAGCGGCACCCAGAGGCAATGTCTGCTCATCCCTACCAAAGGGACTCTAGGTTTACTAGGGCTAGCTGGTCCTCATGTCAAAATCAGATCACTTTAAAATCAGACAAAAGAAAATGTTCCAAGTTCCCTTATCGTATAACATTAGGACACCCAAATTTTATAGAGTCCTGTGATAAAAGTACTGTTAAATAAAGTAACTATTTTACATGTGAATTCAAATAATTCCAAAATTATGTTTTCCTATTTTCAGTTATGTTGGAACACAGTAGTTCAGTTAATATTGATAGCTGAAAGTAAGACTTATTTATCTATGGAAATAATGGCCTAATACTACAAAAGGAATCATGCTATGCCAAAACTGGAGATTATAAAAAGCCTAACTGTTCATGATAATATGGTTAAAATAATATATATGAATTACTAGTTCTATGAGGCATTAATGTAGTAACTGGAAAGACTAATGTATAACAATCCAAATGAAATAACTTCTGCCTAAATATTTCTACAAACAGTTTAATGGCAGAGGCCAAGCATGGTAGTTTACACCTGTAATCCTAACCCTCTGGGAGGCTAAGGAGGGAAGATGGCTTGAGCTCACTGTTTGAAAGTAGCCTGAGCAAGAGCGAGACCTCTGTCGTTACTGAAAAATAGAAAACTTGGCTGGACATCTTAGTGCATGCCTGTGGTCCCAGCTACTTGGGAGGATGAGGCAGGGTTGCTTCAGCCCAGAAGTTTGAGGATGCACTGAGCTCTGCAGTGAGCCACTGCACTTTAACTGGATGACAGAGCAAGACACTGCCTCAAAAAAAAAAAAAGAAAGAAAAAAGGAAAGGAAACACACAACAAAACCAAAAAAACCTAGTTTAAAATGACAGAATAAAAAAAACCAAACTGAAATTTTACCATTTCAACTGTTGGCAGGTCAGAAATGTCATTTATTTGGTTCACAAAAAGGAAAATTTTCAAGATATTTAAATCATAATTTAGATATCTAGAATTTTTTATTTTTACATGTACTAGTAAAATACAACAAAGCTTAAAATTCATCTTCAAGTACTGCTATACTATGGTACCTAAGATTACTAAATTGATTTCAAGGTATCCTTTGGGAAAAATGAAGTTAGGACTTGTAACTTAAGTCAATCTAGAAAAGTTGGCCGTATTTTGCTGAATGTGGCAACCGTACCAGGAGTAATAAAAATACTAAGTTTCTATCCTCTACTAAAATTCGTATTTGAATGAGAGGTTTGAATTAAAATCTATTACCTATCAGATCCATTCCAACAACATTCAAACTTGTCAAATATGCAGTCATTTTCATACAGTGAACACAGTTTACTTCTGAGGTATTCATGCACCTGTGGAAAAAACACAAACACACTGCACATAATACTTGGTTTGCCTCAAGATCCATCCATTGAAATTTAGGAAAATGATTTAACAAGTCCATAGCTTTAATAAAAGGGTAGACATATATGTAGATACATAGGGACATTTTAAAAAATTACTAAATCTCAATCTTCTCAAAGAATAAAGGCATTTTACCTTTTCTGCACTACATACGCCCCTGTTGGGAAGGCGCACTTTCCTACTGCACAACAAATACACTCCCCGCTGGGCATGGCACACACACCTCTATAAGCCTGACAAACATTTAGGCTGGAAAATATTTGAAAATTGCACAGATAAGAGACCAATAAAAGAACACTATAGCAGTATTTGAATATTCCTAACTTGGTTGTCAGGCCATTAACAGCTGATAACAACACTGTACTTAACTTCCTTTTTAAAAAGTACCATTTTGGGGGGCATAAATTTAACTGATGCCTGTATTTTCCAATTAAATGCATATGCTACACATGACCATGCCCTCATTTGGTGATAAATTACATTGAGTACTTTAGGTATGCATCATTAAAAATCTGTAGTAACACTTGATATTACACAATGTCAAAAGCTAATGAAAATGTACCTGTTTTTGGATTAATTCTTTATTTACTAATATTTCAAAAAAGGATAAATGTTATTTTAAAAAATAATACATGAAACCTTTCAACATTAATGCTGTCAAATTACAAAGAAAGGCTCTAAAGTATCTGTTGTGATCAAAGGAAAAAAAGAAATGTCTATCTCACTTTCTCCTCTTAAAGACAAGTAAGGGAAGTGAGTAGGTGACCCTAAGTGCTCAGCCTTCTCTGTTCTACATGACACAACTCAACTCCTCACTGTTGTAAGGATAGTGGACTTAGGCCATGCGCATGTGACTTAAGTGAAAATCTGTAATAGAGAATAACTGCAACTCGTGTGGGATCAAAAGTCAGTATGTACTGCAAAAATTAGTAAGATTGAGAATACTCAATCACCCAAAACTCAGCAAGACACTTGTACAAATTCAATAAAAACAGCTGAATCTACACAAGCTACATTTACACTTGATGATTCTACCCTCAGTCACTAACCCTATGAAAAGCATAGGCAGGAAAATGGCAAATTAGATACAATTAGGTAGATCATCATAATTCAGCAACATTTTAGAATGCACACAGTACAATACAAGATTTATCACCGAGGTGAGTATGAAGCTGAGGTTCAAATCAATTATTCTCAATGGGAATGACATGATTAGCATAACCAGAATGTAACACGAATGCACAATTGCCTTGTGGGTGTTGGTTCTAGAATCCCCCTGTATACCCAAGTCTGCCCATCCTCAAGTCCTGCAGTTGGCTGTGGAACCTGTACATATGAAAAGTTGCCTGGCATCATATGTGACTTTGCATCCCTCAGATACTATATTTCCTATTTGCATTTGGCTGAGAAAAATCTGTAATTGCATCTGTGCCGTTCAAACCTCGGCTGTTCAATGTCTACCATACTCTGAAAACAAAGCAGTTATTTCGTTTCTTTGGCTTTTGTCTCAATGCTGTATTTTGCAATTTCAAACACTATTAAAAAGAATCTTGACTGGTTTCTGTTTGTCACAGGGGATCTCAAAGTTTAAAAAACATCATTCTAATTTTATTGAGAATATATAACATAAAGAAGGTATGATTTATAAGTTCCGTATTCCTAAAGCGGAGCTGAGTGTTTTCCACGCAGCAGTCTGGGGTATCTGTTGGTCCCCATCCTGCTCTGGGCTGTGGAATTCTTCATTCTCGTCCCTGTTCCTGAGGTCAGGCATATGTGTCAATGGCAATGGTTGGCTGACAAGAGATTCCAGAACTGACACCCTACAGTGGACAGGCTCGTCCCAGAGTCATCTGCTGGGCTTTCCAGCCCTTCCCCTGTAGCTCGAGACAACAGTTATTAGCCAAAAGGCAGAATACCAGTCTACCTGACTCAGAACGCCAAATTTAAGCTCTAGCTCAACTACTCCTGCACATATGCCCAGGACTGGCCTTTCTCCTCAATTCTCTTCTTGACCAGACCTTAATGAAGAGTGTTGTTCTTCCTCACTTTCAATGTACAGAGCGCGGGGGTGGGGTGGGGTGTCAATACTAAACCAAATGAGTAGCAAAATCACACTTTAACTGGAAAACTAAAGAGAAGACACAACCTATGTACGTATGTATACATTTAACATAAGGAAAAGCAACATACTCAGGGATCTCTGAAGGAAAGGCCTAATGGTGAATGGTGCACAAACACCTCATCAGGATTAACGCCCAGTACAAAATCCTCTATGAACACCTGAAAGTAAACAGGGTGTATCTCATTGAAAGAAAAAACTGCAAATACCTGGTATGTTTCCACAGGCCTGTTTTCCATATTTAAGTCCCAAATTTTGACTGACAAATAGTCTCTAGTCATCATATATCGACCACTATGGCTGAATTTTACATCAGAAATAGAGGAGATGATTTCGGAAAAAAATGACCTGTTACTGGGATCTTCAGGTTCTTCAAACACTAAAAACAAAACAAAACAACAAAAAAGGGCAAGGTGTACAATATTCTGACTTGAACAGAGCATTTCCTGAAACATCCATTCACAAACTACCTAAAACAACAGGCAAATAAACAATAGGAAAAACATCTCTGGCTAGAATAGTGTAATTCCCCTAAAAGCTTTCTTAAGAGAATGACTTAATACTGAAGTTGAAGGTGCAAAAGTACACAGGATACTTCCAGAGTCATGTGGCTAATTTAGAGAACCAGACTCACGCAGGCCTTCCAACTTCAGTGCACCAGGCCAGTATATTCTGCAATATACCTGACTTTGCCTATATCATCACCACGAGAAACACACCATCGTCACCCATACAAATTCATACCAGGATTTTATTTTCCAGTAACCAGGTAAAATTATTTTGGTAAAAGGCATGTACCAATTTTTGTGTTTTAGGAATAATCAACACAAGAAAAGACTATCGCAATCCCTTAATTTTTTAACCCAATGGTTTTCAAACTTTTTTTTATTTTTAAAGCCAAGAAAACCTCTTCTCCGAAGAAACCTTCCTAGGAAGCTCAAAACAGAAAGGAAGTGAAGAGTGAGGTGGGAGGGCAGGAAAGAAAAGAACTGCTCTACCTGAATACAGCAGGACAGCCCAACCACAAGTTTCCAAAGAACAGCATCCACCAAAACGTATTCGTCACTGGGAGTCACACAGAGATGCCTCCAAGAAAGCCTTGTGTGTGCTTCTGGCTGAGAAGCCCGGGATACCTCACAGGAGGCATCCAGTTTATTAAAGGGGAACCAGAGGCCTGGACACACAGGTTTAAGACTTATAAACCTCTGTCACTGTACTTACCAGGTCTGAGGCTTGTGTCAAGTAAACACAATATGCGATCATTTTAAAGAAAAACACAACACACTTACTTACGTTTAGAATGCCTGTCACAGAGAGCAGATGCCCTCATGTCACATAACCGAATTGTCCCTTTACTGCTGCTGTATACAAATGTGTTACAGCTGTGTGGATGGAATTCTGCTGCTGTAATCACCTCTGTCAGCTCCTCCATATTGGCAGGCTTGATATCCACAATGTCTGGACATTTTATTAAGGAAGTTCCACTCAGTAAGAAAGTCAGAAATAATCACTATGTTTCCCAAACCTAAAATCCATTCACAGACCTGAGCATAAGTATTAATTCTGAATTGCTCTCTACTCTTTTTATGATTATAAATCCCAAAAGAGATTGAAAGTTTTTAACAATAAAAACCAACCAAACAAATCTTAGAAAACACAGGGAAAAACTGAATCATTTCAGAATGGAGAGGTTTTTCTAAGTAGGATACAAATCTTAGAAACCATTAAGAATGATAAATTTATCTTCAAAAGTTAAGAGAATTCCAAAACAAAAACTTCAAGAGGGCAACAAAAAGAAATTATTTACATCACAAATATAAGTAATTTACTTAATACAAAAAAGGTACTTTTAAAAAAAAATTAAAAATGTAAATCCAGGAAAAAATTGAAGAACAAATAGAAAGATAAATGGCTGATGAACATGAAAGATGGTCAAGTCTACTCATGATGAAAGAAATGCAAATATAAACAACAGAAGAGAATTTTCTAATGTAAAAGTATAAGGAAACAGGCTTTTATACATTGTTGGTAGAGTATAAATGATGGTTAAAGCTTTGTTAATTTTTCAAGTGCTAGCTAGACAATCTATATACATTGACAGTAGTAGTAATTGCTAACATTTACCAAAAATCTTTTAGCGGACACAAAGAATGGAAAGACATCCCAGACTAATGGATCAGACAAATCAATATTCTTTTTATTGAGACAGAGTCTCATTATGTCACCCTCAGTAGAGTGCTGTGGCGTCACAGCTCACAGCAACCTCCAATTCTTGGGCTTAAGAGATTCTCTTGCCTCAGCCTCCTAAGGAGCTGGGACTACAGGTGCCTGCCAAAACACCCAGCTATTTTTTTGGTTGCAGTTGCCATTGTTGTTTAGCTGTCCTGGTCCAGGTTCGAACCCACAAGCCTCAGTGCATGTGGCTGACGCCGTAACCACTGTGCTACCATCGCTGCACCAAAATCAATATTCTTAGTATGTTCATACTACTTAAAGCAGTCTATAGAGATTCAATGTAATCCCCATCAAAATCCCCAACAGCATTCTTCATAGAAATATAAAAAAATCATAAAAATATAGTCTCTTCAATAAATGGTGCTGGCACCATACCCACCGAGCTATAGGTGCTGAGCCAGAATTAGAGTATTTTTTAACACAAAGAAATGATAAATTCTTGAGATTATGTATATCCCAATTGCCCTGATTTGATTAATTCACACTGTATGCCTGTATCAAAACATCACGTCTACCCTATAAAGATACACCATTACGACGTACCCATAATAATTTTTTTTTTTTTTTGAGACAGAGCCTCAAGCTGTCCCCCTGGGTAGAGTGCTATGGCATTACAGCTCACAGCAACCTCCAACTCCTGGGCTCAAGCGAGTCTCCTGCCTCTGCCTCCCAAGTAGCTGGGACCACAGGCGCCCGCCACAACGCCCGGCTATTTTTTGGTTGCAGCCGTCATTGTTGTTTGGCAGGTCCGGGCTGGGGATTCGAACCTGCCACCTTAGGTGTACGTGGCTGGCGCCTTAGCCGGTTGAGCTATAGGCGCCGAGCCACCCATAATAATTAAAAACAAAAAATGTTTCTAAAAAGGGAGTGAGAGCTATACCTCTGTAGCTTTGGAATTTTAGAAAAATAAACAATTGCAGGTTCAAAATAGAAAAATGAATTTTTAAAAACACACTTTAAAACAAATACATTAATAGACATTTCCATACTTATAGACGATATGCCTGTGCACAGGTACGTATGTTTGTCATACACCTGTATTAGCACAAAAAATTTTCAGGAAGCAAATATAAGTAAAAAGAAGGTCTGGAGAAGTATTTTTTCACTATAAATATTTCTGTTGATTTGACTTCACATCAAGACATCTATCTTTTTCTAACCATAACAAGATTATTTTTATAATTTAAAAAATGTAAAATAACTACAAAGAACTCACTTATAAAAAATATTCCTAGTTTCAAAGGTATAATAGGTAAATTCCTTAAAATTCTGTAAATGCAATACATTATGCCTTTTATCTTTATGAAATAACTTCCCTAATGTTTAATCACTTAAATAAATACAAAGAAAAAATAAGATGCCGCATATGAATTAAAAAACACCATAGAAGGAAGGAATTACATGTATTAAAGAGAGATGAAAATAATCCACTACGGGGACAACATGCCCTCTTTACCAAACACCAAGAAAGAAAACAAAATGGATACTAAAACTCCTGTCCGTAATTTCCAGATGCCAAAGATTAATCCGCAAATCATCTGCAGACAAATATGTTTCATAATCACTATTAATAGAAATGGAATTGATGTGGTATGTATGAGCATTGGCAAATATTCTTCGTGGACTGGCCTCGACCATTAGATCCATGGGCCTAAAGACTGGCACCTGTCAACAAGACATGTGAGAAACAGAAATTACAAAAGGCTCATTGTTTCAAATAGCAGTTAAGGTTCAGAAAACGTCATTGTTTTATTTTTGAGGGAACATAAAACAGATTTACTTTATCTAAAAGGCAACTCATGCTGATCCTTTTAAGCGCTGAAATCGGAAGTGAATTTGGGCAATTTACCTTCTTTTACTTGTAGTGAAACTATTAGAATTTGCAGTTCTTCTTAGTTCTAATCTTTTGCTTGAAAGTTCTGCCAAGCTAATAAATGTTTATAGTTCAATTAAAGAGGGCAAAGAGAAAATCAACCCATAGCATCTAATTGTTGGTATTTTTTAGCTATAACTATTAAGACCCAGTCTATTTCTGTTTTTTTGATCTCCAAAAAAAATTAATCTTGAAACTCAATCTTGTAATAGCTGACATTCCAATTGTGATGGCAAAAGAATGTGGTATAGTATAAAACATAATCTTGTATTTGAATCCTGGTCCTGTCCCTGGGTACAGTGAAATCTCTATGTATGACCAGTTTCTATGTTTAAAGTTATTCAATGTCCTACAACATGGTTACAGAACTTTTGGGGAATAGGGGTAGATTGTAATTTTTTCCTATTCAAGTTCTGCTCAGGAAACAGGCTATATAATATAAATAAATAGGGAGGGATTATTCATCACATTTGTTATGAACTTACTCGTAGTGTAGTAACTGTAGTAGGATCTCTATACCTTCCATCTTCCTCTTTCAAGTTATACCCTTCTGGTCTCTTGTCTCTTTCACTGATCTTCCATAATTTTATTGTTTTATCTAAGGAGAGAATAAACAACACATTCTTCTTAGTAAAGCATCACAAGAATGGACAAGCAAGAATCCAATGTACTCAATTCTAATATGAAGGCAGTAGATGATCTAATACAAGGGGGTCGGGAAGGTGGGGAGGAGAATGAGGGAGCGGGTAGAAGGGAGGAGGGAGACAGTTGTGGGGGCGCACGGTGTATGGCACACCTCTTGGGAGTGGGACACAATTACAAGAGGAACTTTACCAAACTAACACCATCAGTGTAACTTAATTCTTTGTACCCTCAATGACTCAAACAATAAAAAACAAAGTCCTTAAAAATAAAAAGGGTAATACTGATAACTGATAACATTTTATGGCATTGAAAACTGGCCATTTCATACTTTACCTAAAAAGATTCCAAGAAAAAAACCCTTGTCCTACTAAAAAATTTTTTATTATCAGGTGAATAAAAACACATACACATAGAAATATAGAAATTGCACATTTACACATTAATGGTAAAGCATAACTTTTATAAAATTTTATAAACTTATATAAAATTCCACATGATATTCAAAATCCATATGATGGCTCAACACCCAGCACAGTGGTTATGGTCCTGGCCACATAGACCATGGCTGGCAGGTTCAATCCCGGCCCAGGCCTGCTAAACAACAATGCCAACTGCAACAAAAAAATAGCCAGGCATTGTGGCAGTCGCCTATGTACAGTCCCAGCTACTTGGGAGGCTGAGGCAAGAGAATCATTTAAGCCCAAGAGTTTGAGGTTGCTATGAGCCGTGACCATAGCATTCTACTAAGGGCAACATAGTGAGAACTCTGTCTCAAAAAAATAATAAATAAATAAAAATAAAAATAATTAAAGCTAAGGGGGAAAAACTGTGTGTATGCAAGCACATACACCTACATATACATACAAACATATTTAGAACCAAAATGATATGAAAAATGTCCCTTGGTCCCATTTCCTATCAGATCCTATTCAGCACTCCCCGGAGTCCTTCACAGGACTGAATATTTCCTTTTAAAATCTATCTCTTGGGTGACGCCTGTGGCTCAAAAGGATAGGGTGCTAGCCCCATATGCTGGAGGTGGCGGGTTCAAACCCACCCCCAGCCAAAAAAATAAAAAATAAAAATAAATAAATAAAATCTATCTCTTCCCCTCTTATGTCAGGAATTCATATGTAGAAATCAGGGCCTGAAAAAAATTGATTGGAAGTATACATCCTCAAGACCTTTAAGAAGACAAAATTCATAGGCATTAAAGATATTTAAAAAAACATCTTTTCGGCTCAGCACCTGTGGCTTAAGCAGCTAAGGCACAGCCACATACACCTGAGCTGGCGTGTTCTAATCCAGCCTGGGCCCGCCAAACAACAATAACAGCTGCAACCAAAAAATAGCCAGGCGTTGTGGCAAGCGCCTGTAGTCCCAGCTACTTGGGTGGTAGAGGCAGGAGACTCAATTGAGCCCAGGAGTTGGAGGTTGCTATGAGTGGTGATGCCACAGCACTCTACCCAGGGCGACAGTTTGAGGTTCTTTTTCAGGGGGGGAAAAAAAGGATCTTTTTTAAAAAATAAACTTTTATTTCGTAATCAGAATTGCAGAAAAGCTGCAAAAATAGAACAGTGTTCTCATACCCCTTCTTCACCCAGTTTCCGTTCAAGTCAATGTATCGTGCAACCGCGGACACACTTGCCAAACTTTGTACCCTCTACTATTAACTAAACTATGTTCTGTACTCAGATTTAACATGTCTACTAACATCCCTCTTCTGTTCCCGGATCCCAACAACAATGCATTTAGTTGTCAAGTTGCCTTAGTACAGGCATCCTCAAACTATGGCCTGTGCGCCATATACGGCCTGCCCAGGACATTTATCCAGCCCGCCAGGTGTTTTTGCAGCCGCTGCCTGTCCTGCTTAGCAGCCGACTTGTCCCGGGCCCGCAGTCTGGCCCTCCAATGGTCTGAGAGACAGTGAACTGGCCCCCTGTTTAAAAAGTTTGAGGACCCCTGCCTTTGTATCTCTGACTCAAACAGCGTCTCAAGTTCTCCTTATTTTTCTTGATTGAGACAGTTTTGAGCAGTGGTGGGCGGAGATAGTCCTCAACTGGATTTGCTGTTTTTCACGATGAGACTGAGACCAAGGGTTTTCAGGATAAAGAAATGAAGTGACTTCTAACGGCCTCATTTAACGCAGTGATTTTCAACTGGTGCCATGAGCAGAGCTTAGGTGTGCCTCACCCCCAAATTTTAAAGATCATTAATTAAATCATTTTCAAAGTGCAGTAAGTAGATTCTTTTTTTTTGGATCAACATAATTTAAGTGTGCCATGAAATTTTAAAAAAGGTTGAAAACACTGATTTAAAGGATACATGATATTAACATGATTTACTGCGGGTGGTGTTAAGTTCAATCACCTGGTTAAGACAGTCTGCCAGGTTTCTTTGTACAATTACCATCTCCTGCCCTGCCATACTCTATTCTTTGCAAATGAGCCACTAAGTCCAGCCTAAACCTAAGGAAGAATTAAGTTATACTCCCTATAGAGCAGAGTATTTATTCACATAGTACTTAGAATTCTCCTGCAAGAAGCATCTTTTCTCCCTACTTATATCACTATACTCATGTATAAAGGCTGACAATTAAGTTCACGAACCTACCACTGTGTGCTTACACTGGCAGCACTGTACAGGGTTTCATAACCTTGTATCTCACAGCTGTGTTGGTGTTCACATGTGATGCCTTGCTGAGTGGCGTTCATTACTGTTGCTGCGGGTGTTTGTGTGCTGTTGCAGGAATGCAGGGGCTTGAATTAGAGCAACAAACATACATTAAATTTCTTGTTAAACTTGAGAGGAATGAAAGGAAAATCAGGAACACATTAGTCCAAGTTTATCGGGATAATGCCATGAAGAAAATGGCAGTATACAAATAGATTAAATGTTTTTTTCTGAGAGGAGAGAAAGAGTCACTAAGGGAGAGAGGTCAGAGCAGCTAGCAACGAGCAAAACTGACAAAAACCATTGTCAAAATCATCAGCTGACTGTGAGAAGCACAACAGACTAAGTAAACATCGATAGAGAAACAGGAAAATCTTGGCATGAGAAAAGGCAGGGCTCTTGAACCACGACAATGCCCCAGCTCACACGGCAGTGTCTGTGAGGGAGTTTTTAGCCAGTAAACAAATAATCATATCGGAACACCCTACCTACTCACCTGCTCTGGCCCCTAAAGACTTTTTTCTTCACCTGAAGATAAAGGAAATATTAAAAGGAAGACATTTTGATGACATTCAAGACATCAAGGGTAAGACGACAACAGCTCTGATGGCCACTCCATAAAAAAGAGTTTCAAAATGGCTTTGAAGGGCGGATGAGGTACTGGTGTTGGTGCATAGCTTCCCAAGAGAAGTATCTCCAAGGTGACCATGGTGATACTCAGCAATGAAATATGTAGCACCTTTGTCCAGGATAAGTTTGCTAGCTTAACTGCCAAACTTTGTATGCTTATTTAAAACTTTGGGTTAAAATCTTAAAATAGCATTCTTATATTAAAGCATCACATTCTCAATAACCTTTCATAAGCAAATGGGTGTAACAAAAGTTTTAGAAAGTATATGAAAAGTATTTTATAAAGGTAGTTAAAGACAACTCCAAAGATGCCAGTGACCCTCTAGCCTGGTAACTTCTACCTGTCTTGTAGAGAACATGACAGCGACTCCATGAGGCCCTTCTCCAAGAAGTGTAAACAGAAAAACTGCGAACTTTGGTAACTTTGATGATGAGGGTGACAACCCCACCCAGCCCCACAGTTGTCTTGTGGGTCTTTTAAAATCCATTATCCTTATTAAAGATCTGGATAAAGAAACCACAACATATTCAGCAAACTCTGAGAGGAAATTAGCTTTTGGTTTCTAATAGTGTTATAGGAAGAAAACTCTTCAAGAAAAACTGAAAAATTGAACAAGTAGATTCTGTAAAATATAATATCACATCTTAAAAACAATGTGATAATATTAAAAAATTATTTTTTAAAAAACAAGCACAGGACCTAGAAGTACTAGGATAGATATGTGATTTCAGTACAGTGCTTTGGGGACAAGGTAGGCAGGAAGTAAACTAGTTATTTTAATAAATATGATGGATTCTCCTTTAAAAAACCAAAAATCCTTACATTCTACAGTAGTTTTTTTTTTGTTTTTTTGCAGTTTTTGGCTGAGGTCAGTGCCCTACTCCTTTGAGCCACAGGCGCTGCCCTGCCTAGCTATTTGTTTGTTGCAGTTTGGCCGCGGCGGGTTGGAACCTGCCACCCTTGGTATATGGGGCCGGTGCCTAACCACTGAGCCACAGGCGCTGCCCAGAAGTGATTTTTTTTTTAAAACCTGGAGTTTTTGATCAAAAGGAAGAGGTTGGTGAGAGTAATCAAATTCCCTAAAACTGCATGCATGACTGTTCAAATACACACTTGTCAGTGGAGAGTATTATTAGATATTAATATCTATGCCTTCCTAAGCCATCACTCTATAGTATATCCCTAAATTATCAACATTAATACTGAAGTGTTGCAGAAATCCAAACAGTACTTTTGTTCCCGTGGCCACAAGCAGAGGCTTAGAGCAGGGGAAACCATGCCGCCAAGTTTCTTTTGCAGGAAAGCAGTTTTACATAAGATCCTAAAAATTTCTTATCAATAAGCTGTTAAAACACAACCTATTTATGAATGAACTCTATGTTATTCATATATTCAGGACTATGGTCAACAGGTCACTTTGATGTTTTTGGCAATATGGAGGAATTAAGGAGAATTCAGAGAGGCAAAAGAAGGTTAAAGAGAATAAAAAAACTTGAAGAAACAATAACTAAATTGAAATTCTAAGGAGGTGACTAGGAAGTCATGATCACAGAAAGCTAATGCAAAGATAAAGATAAGATTAATTTTAGTTAGTCAAAGCTGGAAAATGTGGTAGTATTTCTCACCATTTTTCCGTAATAGCAGTTTCT